AGGCTAGCATTTTCTGGAGGGGACTGGGGTGGGGGGGGGCATGAAACTGAACACAAAACCCTGTCTCAAATCTATCACAGAAGCTTACAGTGAGAGTGGGCGCTGCAGACGAGGAAGATTTAAGGAAGGGCCGCAAAGATGTGTTTTACCCATGTCATACTTGTTTCCTAAAACCAGTTTATAATGTTAACCACAAAATGGCTTGATCTCACTGATTATCAAGTGAGACGAAACAATCACCTTTTGGTCCAAAATCCCAAGCATTTCTGTGTAAGTGTTCGCTGAGGAAGAAGCTTAGCTTAGCATTTTTTGAGCTCATAATACATGTAAAAAGCAGGTTCTGTATGTAAGCCTAGTAGGACATCGCTTAAGAAATGTATAGCTCATTAGAGGGGCTATTACATGAGAAATAAAATGGTTGGGACAAGGAAAGAACGCAGAGAACTGGGGCCTTTGAGAAGGTCAATGCCAGACAGTCTCAGGTGATATGAGCATCTAATGCGTAGTCTGGCCATGAAGGGGGCAGGAGGGGAGCACTTCAATGTGGACAGGGCTCCAAGAAGAACGAAGGAGATGTGTCTAGATGAGTGGCTCTGGCGGGGAGTGGTGGGGTGCAGCCTCAGAAAGGATGTCCAGCTGCACCACTGAGCCAGGAGGCGATGACGGCCCAGATGAAGAGTTCAAGCTCAGGACTTAATCTAGGGCCAATCTAGCGGCCCTGTGGAGGATGAATTAGACAAGAGAAAGACCGAAGGCAGAAGAGTAGGATTTTTTTGTGCCTAAATCAAGAGAGGAAACGAGAATCAAACTAATGGGGTGACACTGGGAGTAGAAAATGGTCCACATGCAAGATAAGATCCTTTACAGAGGAAGAGGCGGCATGACTTAGCCCCTGACTGAACCTGGAGGTGGACAGAAGCATGGCTCCCACTTTTTAAGCATGGGTGGCTGGGGAACAGAAACCAAGCAATCTGAGCAGTCATGCCTGGGGACAGACCACTGACGCTGCAGCACAGTCCTTGGGCAGAGGAGCCTCAGCTGAGTGGCTCTGGCAGCAAGTGGCAGCGAAGTGGAGGTGAGTGGGTGGGTGGGAAGAGGAGGAACAGTGGAATGACAGCTTGGAGAGAGGGGAGGCTGGAGTGGCTGTGGGCACTGCTACCCCGAAGGACGGGGCTTTGGGACTGGGGACGCCGCAGCACTGCTACATCATAAAAAGGCCCAGTAAGAGCAGTTATTCTTTGAGTGTTTAGTACATTGCAAATTGCAAGTCATCTCGAGCGATATATGTGCTCAGATGGTGCTGTGAATGCGATGACAGAAGTGGCAAGCAGCAGAGCCAGGACTGGCACCTTCTGTGGCACGGCACCGCAAACAAGCACTGCAGGTACGAGAGCGACTTTCTCTGAAGGACTGACATCCTGGTGGAAGGAGATGGGCTGCGGAGTACAGGCAAGAGGGAAAGGAAGTGAGAACATCCTTCCTCAGAGAGAAGTGCAGGAGGCCAGAAAAGATAAAAATGCAGAACTATTTTGAGTGGCAAAGGAGGAAGTTGAGGTGACAAAAGCTAGGCAGCTTTGAACTTCTCATTAAATGATGTAATTACTGAACCTAAAAGTCATTATTTGAACCAAAAACCATAAAGGCTGTGAAGTTCTCTGTGGTGGATGCACACAGAAGCAGTGTTGCCTTTTGAAAACCAAAAAAGATTTGCAGAAGTCGCTGCAATAAAATGGGCAGTGTCTGATCAATTAAGCCCTGATGGTAATATAGTTAGGCGAGAACAGAATCCTACTGTGATCATATTTTGACCAATATGCCCAGTGACCCCTGCTAATGAACTAACTAGGCTTTGAGCATAACTGTGCGGGGGGGGGGGGGCACTGTTTAAGTCATTGTGAACAATTCAAAACCAATGGTAAAGCAAAGCGACAGGAATCTATGATATCCTTAGGAGTTTGTGGCAGAATTTTACATATTTCCATACAACAAAAATTTCATTACATACTCTACAATGCCCTGGCATAATATATATAAACATATATATGAGAAATTATTTCCACACAAAATGAAGCATGCAGAAACGGGTATGTTTATGTTCATAAACGACTATTTTACAGTAATGTGTGTTGAAGGCTTCATTGAAATAAAGTTGCCAGAGTGAGATGCCCATTTTAATAGAAAAATAAAATATTTCTCCCCAGTGGTCATTATTGCCACTAGGCATTGCAGATACGGCCCCAGTAGAAGGTGCTTATGTAGGAGGTTTATCTCACCAACAATACAGACATAACCTCAGTTGAAAAATGAGAAATTAAAACAACGCTGGTCCATTCATCTCCTTCCGTGCAAAGAATTGATGACCCTTGCTCTTTAAGTTGTCCTCACTAAAAGTAGCCCTCTGGAGAGCAGTGCGGGGACGTCAGTTCATTCTCTTCCTACTGATGGGAAAAGTCAACCCCTCTGGGCCTGCACTTCCACATCTCCACACAGAATGCCTATTTAGCAAGGTAGATGCTGGGTGGCTTGGCATTGATGCACAACATCCCAGGCGTGCAAGGGGTGCTCAGGAAACAAACTACGTGGTCTGGCTGTGAGGCGGGAGAAAGAGCGCCAGCCTCAGAGCCAGCCTTAGAGTCGTGGTGACCGCCCTCTGGTTCGGCTGTCACCAAATGCAAGGTCTGTAATGAGCCACAGCCCATGCCTGGGCTGCAGCTTCTTCATTTGTGAAATGAACAGAATGGTTTCTGAGGTTCTCTCACCAGCTCCAAAAATTCTTCCTGGTGACAAGAATGTCTGTAAAGTCCTTGATGGGCTATATTAATACATTCATTTTCGTCAGTGATCTCTCTGGTTGGTCTGTGGTGCAAAGCACCAAAACCTCTAAGACCACATGACACCTGAAAATTGAGAAGTGGAGCAAAATCAAGTGCAAAGGACCCAGTCAAGGCCTCTTCTCTCCCTTCAGCCCAGGTCCCAAACAACTACTGTGTTTTCAATTGATTTCAAGTCATCCAAACAACATCCATCTGAAGAGGGGAGAGGTTCATAAGTGACAGGCGGAACCCCTGTTGTGCACAAGGGCCAAAGCAGCCACGGATACCTCACTGGGTAGGTTCAAGGCCTCACTTTCAATCTCTGGAAGTCATGTAACTGGGATCAAGTGACCTAAGTATTCTGTGCTCCTGTCACCTTTTCTACATAACAGAAGGAGCAATTCATCCCTTGTCCTCTCTGTGAGGCTTCAATGAACCCCAGATGTGAAATCTCTTTGTAACTATAAAGTGAGTGCAAACATGAGGCCTGGACGACTCCCTAGCAACTGTCCCACAACACACCTGCAGGTGCCCCGTTGGCTGTGACTTCAGTCAGATCAGCAAGCTGGATGGACAGTCCTGGTCTCCAAGGTCCCTTCAATGATTTACAGCTGACCAAGACAAGACCAAAGGTGCGTCCCTGAAGAGAGATTTCCAGGGCCCAGAAAAGCCCAGTACAATTTGTGTAAGCAATGGACATAAACAAATGCCAAAAGGAAGCACAAGATGAAGAGAGTTGAGCAGTCTTAAAACATGAGATCTGGAAAGGGTCTTGGTAATAATCACTGTCTAACTTCAGAAATGAGTAAGTCACGAATTCTAAGAACAGACAGCGCTTCCCGTGTACAACGTACTTTCATATGTGAGCTTACTTCTCATAACGTGTCTGTGGCAGGGGTACTGGTCTTATTTTTTCCAACGGGAACAACAGAAACTAATGACCATAAAAGCAATAATACTAAGAACTAGAATAGCAACAAAAACAGGTAAAATTTATTCAGACATGGGTCCCTGGCATACATTTGTTTCCTCAGCAGTATTAAGAAACTACTCAATCCAGGCATAATTTAGATAGTGGACAAGAGAGACAAGATCTCTTCTTTGATGGAATTCATATTCTAGTGGGGAGAGACTGCCAATAAACAAGCAAATAATCAAGGTAATTCCCCGTAGTGGTAAATGCCATGAAACAAAAAACTGGGGTGCTATGAGAGAGGACCACTGTGGACTGAGGATTTGGGCAAAGCTTTTCTGAGATGCTGACATTTGAGCTACACCTGAATGAAAAGACACAAGTCATGCACAGACCAGTCAGCCCATTTAAGCCTTACAAAACCGTATATTATAAGAATGATTATTCCCATTTTACTATTGAAAAACTTGAGGCTCACAGAATTTAAAGAACTTGCCTGTAGTTTCACAACAAATAGAATAATCATGATTTCTGCTCAGGAAGGAGCCTGCTTCTCCCTCTCCCTCTGCTGTTCCCCCTGCTTTTTCTCTCTGGCTCGCTCTCTCTCTTTCTGTCAAATACATAAAATATTTTTTAAAAAAAAAAGAATATTCATCATTTAAACCTAGGCAACCCATTTCAGGAGACCACAGTCTTACATATAACCTTAGCCTCCTTAAAGTGATTTACTTGAGGTTGCAAAGTTGGTGGTTGAGGAAGACTAGAATCAGTTCCTGTTGACTCTAAGGACAGTCCTCACCATACTCCTTCATGATGCCTCTGGCCCATCACAATGTACAAAAGCAAATAAGCAAAACGACTAGGACACATCAATAACAAAATACATTTTCCAATATTAAAGCATAAGAAAAGTATCCAGGAATGAGATACAAACAGGACATGCAGACAGGCGAGCATGGTATTCTCTGCAATGATAAAGTTTGCCCCAAGCATTGTTGTCACGAATCCTGACAGGGATCCCTGGCCTCAGAGGTCCTTGCCTGAGATGCCCCCTTCAGTTCTTGTCTTGGAACACAGCAGTGGGCTTTGCCTCTAACCCAGAACCACTAGGAAGAGGCCATGTCTACCCTCAATGACATTCATGGAGAGAATATGGAGAAAAGTATTCAGATGCATGAGATAAAACAGACTGCTGAAAATCCTTCTCTCTCTCTCTCTCTCTACCCCCCCCCAATTTTATTATTTGTTTTATATTTAGGAGTTCAGAGGGTGAGATGACGACCCCCAGAAATTCAATGAGTGGAACTTTCCCAGTAGATCCTATGAAAAGCCCTACCGCCATGTATCCTGTTCAAAAAATAATTCCCAAAAGGATGCCTTCAGTGGTGGGCCCTACACAAAACTTCTTCATGAGGGAATCTAAGACACTGGGGGTAAGTCTACTGCACTCCATTCTGTATCCTAGAGACTCTCTGGCCTACAGAAGCAGATGCTGTCAGCCAGGTACAGAATGCAATTCAACTAGAAGGTATTTGATCCAACCCCAGATCAAGGATGTGCAAAGAAGTGACCACAGTCATCTTCTGTCTCCTTTTAATTTTGTGTTTTCATATTTAGGGGTCTCCCATCCCAGTTTGTTAACAGCATTCCCAGATATATCTGCATTGGAAATGTCCCAGGTGGTGGGGAAAATGGATCTGAACGAGACAAAGGTCTTGGCACATTTGTCACTTCCTTTAGGCATTTTACACAGCCCCAAGTCAAGAGCCAGGGCTTCCAGCCTTACCTTTGCTTTCTGGCTTGATGATAACTTCAGTTCATCAGTGCTCCCATTCTCTCTTCAGGCTGTCCAGATTATGAATGGGCTCTTCCACATTGCCCTAGGCAGCCTCCTGATGATTCACACGGATGTCTATGCACCCATCTGTATAACTATGTGGTACCCTCTCTGGGGAGGCATTATGGTAAGTAAAAGCTAACAACCATTTGAAGAGTGATGCAGACAAGAAGGTTCCAAAGCTCCACAGTGATATGCCAGATTATTTCTGTGTTGAGGAAGGCATATGCCTGGGGAAAAGGTTACAAATTTAAAGTAATTTAGTGGAAAGAGAGGTTGACTAAATTGAGGATCAATTCCATTGAGAGTCAGTGGTTATGCTTTATGTGAATTTAGAGAGTGATGGCCTCGCTGGGTCTACGTAGGGAAGGAAGATTGTTCAAAGCAAGGCCTCTCCAAAGTCAATATGTAGGCACTGAACATTTGGACTGTACAGCGTGGTGTTTCAGAAAGCAGGAAGGCACAGGAGCATCCCATTTCCTCCTGTAATTCTGCTTAGCTATTGTCACAGGAGGTAAAATCAATCCCATCCCAAATGAATCTCTACCGGCTCATCGGCAGAGCAGCAATCCTCATCGCTGCTTCATGTACATGTTTTCCAAGCTTGTAACCTTGTCTGGGTGTGGTATGGGGCAGCCGTGTTTATACAATCATTACACTTCCATAGTTGCTACTACAAAGATGCCTCCAGGATTGAAAATTTCAGAGCAAAAGAAGATGAATTAGAACATTTTATGGCCATTTTATGGCCTGTATGGTAGACAAGGAAGATGAGGAATAATCACTGTCACTTCCCATAGCAGGCAACATATTAGTGGAGCTCCAAATAGTTTGTTCCACGTTGATTCATTCTTCACTGGCATCAAAGTCATTTAAATGACTGTGAATTCCAAAGAGAAATTCCACAAGTTTAAAAAAGAAAAACTGAAAATAAAAGTTCAAATTCACAGTTGTTAGTATTTATTGACCTGAAAACATGAATTCTGCCTCTGGTGTTAACTGTATTCCTAGTCACAGCTCCCCAGTCAGTTGAATAAAAGGCATAGACTGAATACAGTTGAGCATGAATAAAAGAGAAATATGACTTCTTTAAAAGGAATGGATACTATAAAAATGACTGGACAGTTTAGTGAAAGTGGCTGGATATGTTGATAGCTTTTTTTACAACCAGTTCTGAATGTTCTGAATGTTAAAAGTAATCTCCCTCTCTGCCTCTTCTCCTATGTCTCCCATGCCTTCTCCACCACTACTTCTCTTTTCACAGTTCATCATTTCTGGATCACTCCTGGCAGCAGCAGACAAAAACCCCAGGAAGAGTTTGGCAAGTAATCATATATCCTTCTTTCCCACACATCAGAGAAATATCTACTTTCTCAATTGAAAACAAACCCCTTAAAGACCTTTGAGATCATAGTAGCACTGGGTTATCTCTTAATCCCCAAAAGCAAAAGATTCTCTACAAAGCTGTTGTGATGTTATTCATGATAAACTTAGAAATGAGACCCATCGGAATTATGTCCATGGAAAAAGAATTCAAGGCAGATCCATGAAGAGCAACATGCTTATGGTCTTATGAATGTTAAACGTTGTATGAAACTAATAGGCCTCTTAGAGAGCTTTGTTATTTCTCTTAGACCACCATTTGAGAAAACTAATCAATAATGTGATTAACCCAGGCCTTGTTAACTTTGAGCAAGTCAGTTTACCTCTATGTACCTTTATAAAATAATGGCACTATATTGTTATGACGACGAAATGGGGTAATATACATGAAAGTGCTCCAGAGGCTTTAAGGAGCTTCAGAGGGTCTTATTTGATAATACCCACAACACATTTACACCCCAGTCATGAGCTTACCAGCAGGTTCCTCCCCCAAGTTTTTTTTATACTTACTAATAAGCAATTACTAACCTGTGTCACTTCCAAAGTCAGTGAGAGACTAACTGGATGTAAATGACTCCTCTCTAGAGGTGGTCTGACAAATTCAGTTCTGGGGAGTAAAAAACAAGTTGTTTTATTCTCCAGATATAGCCAGTCCTACTGAACTGCCATCTGTAGGTCTTATAGCCAGGGATGAACTATTTATGTCTTAAAATAATCATCAATAATCCTATACCATTAGGTACTTGTCACATATATTTTTGTTTTGACCTTTTATCATCCCTGCAAGTAGAACACTCACTCTGACATCCTTTACCTATGCTTACAGAGACATCAGTCCTAATGGTATTTTGAAAGATGGTAGACTGAGGCTGATTACAGCCTATGTCAATAGGGAGCAGGTGATGGTGGTCTTGGCACCGTTTCCACTTAATCGTAGACTCAGAAGTTCGATCTCCTCCTTCCTCCCTACGGTCACAGTACCCTCTCACTTCGTTGCAATGGAAGAACTTCCTTCCTTGTCGTCCCTCTACCTTTCTCTGCAGACAGATATAATCTGAATACTCCATCTTCATTTACTCAACCAATATTCACTGAATGCCTACCAGGGTGGTGGCAGTGGCAGTGAAAGGAAATTCAAGGGTACAAAACAGAAGAATTTAGGATGACTCCTAGAATTTTCTCTTGATAAACTGATTGGATGTGATGGGGAAAAGTGAGATGGGGAAGATTGAGGAAGGCATGGGAATTAGAGATAAAGCTTGTCACTTTATAGTAACAAGGACACTAAAACCACTGAGAGAAGTGTGGTTTAGTATGAGATTGGTGCAGTGCCTTTGCAAGTTAGAGCAATGGGATCTGGAATTCTTTCCTAGCTAAATTTCTCCAAATGAAATCAAACCCTGTTAACAAGTCTTTGTCTCTATTTCAGGTCAAAGGAAAAATGATAATGAACTCATTGAGCCTCTTTGCTGCTATTTCTGGAATAATTTTTTTGATCATGGACATATTTAATATTACCATTTCCCATTTCTTTAAAATGGAGAATTTGAATCTTATTAAAGCTCCCATGCCATATGTTGACATACACAACTGTGACCCAGCTAACCCCTCTGAGAAAAACTCTTTATCTATACAATATTGTGACAGCATACGATCTGTTTTCTTGGTAAGTTTGAAATTAGGTTTCTTCTCAGGGAATAAGTTTGACATTTTTATTATGAGTGTCAACTCTGGGTTAAGATTGGCTACACCTGCTACTTACTGCCTATATGGCTTTGGGCAAGAATTTTAACCATATTCTGCCTCAGTTTCTTCAGCTGTAAAATGGGGAAGCTAATAGTACTTATCTCATAGGGCTGTTTTGAGATAAGTTAATGTATGTAAAACACTTAGAACTGGTACACAGAAAGTGCTATGTGTTTGCTTTTACATTAATTATATTACTTGTTAATATTTATTAATATGAATATGATGAACATTGAAGAAGCACTTAAGTTATTACGAACATCTTTGGCCTCAGTGAGTTCTTAATATAGAGTCTGAAGGGGAAAAGTATAGACAGGTTTCCTTGGTTGTGATATCAAACCACCACAACTTAATTCGGGATCCAGCGATTAATTTGTCCTATGTAGAATTTATTCTTCAACTAATTACTGCTGCCTTATTTTCTATTAGCAGCATGCATTAGCCATTTGTGGTGTGCCAGTTGTTGTGCTAAGGGTTAGGGTTATAGAGATACTAGTAGTTCTGACTGTTGGTCATTACTCACCTAAAGAACTTATCTTCTAAATAACTGACCTTTTAATCATTTAATTTTGGCCAACAATCATTGACTGAGCACCAACCATAAGCCATTTTTAAAGCCATTTTTACATTTAAGCCATTTTTACATTTCTGCCCTCACTTTTTCTGTTGTTCTCCAGGGCGTTTTTGCTGTGATGGTGATCTTTACCTTTTTCCAGAAACTTGTGACAGCTGGCATTGTTGAGAATGAATGGAAAAAACTGTGCTCTAAACCTAAATCTGTAAGTAGTAGCCACCCCATCCACTAACCCTCTCTGAGAAATCATGTCAACAAAAAAATCATTTATGGAGAATGTAATCTGATGTAATTTTGAGCCTAGGAGCTTCATAAAAAAAATGGTCTTGGCAGATCTCTGGAAAGCAGAAAATGCCAATAATGAGGCAAAAGCATCTTGAAATTTAAAATAAGTCTAAAGGTTAAACAGAAGATACAGCCTTATACTATGTGCACTTACTAACCTTGAGTTCCACTTCATTCCATGAACCCATCTTGATTTCATGATTCCACACTTAATGTGTAAAAACAGGATGGCTGAAGGTTGACGACTGATAAAAGCACTAGTTCTTCCATTTCATTTCTCAGTATTCCCTCCCTGTACCCACCTGCAACTTTTCATCAAATCCCACTTCCAAAATAATAGGTTCAGAGAGGCTCCACAATTGGGAGATATGAATATCCCAGTGACAGATCAGTTATCAACTGCTTTGAAATAGATAATGTTAGATTAAAATTTAGAAATCATCACAGTTCCATCATTTTTCAAATGAGAAAAACAGGATTAGAGAGAAAACAACCTTCCCAAGGTTATATCCAATAAAGGCAAATCAAAACTAGAATCTAAATTCCTTTATTACTGCAGTGTTATTTCCCAAATACTGTGTGATCATTCCAGGGAAAGTGACAAATATCTGCTGACCTTGAAGATGAGCTTTGATAAGTGATCTGATCCCTTGGGAAACCAATCCTGATATTTGGAGGCATATAGGAAATAACATAAACAGCATAAAAACCAGGAGGTATTTGATAAATATTCATGGAGGTTGTTGACAAACGTGTCGATAGTAAGGGTCAAGAGACATGTTTAATTTTGTGTTCTAGGATGTAGTTGTCCTGTTAGCTGCTGAAGAAAAAAAAGAACAGCCGATTGAAACAACAGAAGAAATGGTTGAGCTGACTGAAATATCTTCCCAACCAAAGAAAGAAGAAGACATTGAAATTATTCCAGTCCAAGAAGAAGAAGAGGAACTGGAAATAAACTTTGCAGAACCTCCCCAGGAGCAGGAATCTTCACCAATAGAAAACGACAGCATTCCTTAAGTAACGTTTTTCTTTCTGTTTCCTTTTCTTAGGCATTAGTGTTCACAGCTTTCAAGAGACATATCCACCCCTGTTTCCTGAGGCCCCCTGCAGGTGGGCCTCCTCCATGTGTCTCTCTGGCCTTTGCATGGAGTGACCACAGCTCGCTTGCGCTAGCTCGCTCTCTTTCTCTCATGCAGAGGATGCAGCCATTGCAGGAGGCTAAGTCGGGCAGCTTATTTACATTACAGAAAGGCAGACTGTAATTTCTCACTAACTTTTCCCTGGATAAGGCTTCGTAGTAGTGGTTGGAGTGGCAGTTCCATCTCTACCCCTGGTGAAAAAGATAAATATGGCTCCAAGCCACCCTGAAACTATCTTTAATTCTTTCCACATCTACATATTTTGTGGAATCTGTTTTGCACCACTGTCTCAAGGAAAGTAAATAATAATAATACAAAAATAATAATAATTATGAGGTACAATAAGGAACTATCCCATCTATCTTTCTATGGGGCTCAAATCATGATACATTCTTAGAGCATCCACGCCCCATCAGGGAAGCTCTAAGTGGCCAATACTTAACTCTTTCTTTGTAAAACAGCACAGCTTATAGATGGACTTTTCTGTATCTGTCTTAACTTTTCCTAACTCCTGCGCTAGGCTCTTGGTTGCACCGCCTACCTACTTGTAGCCTTTAGGCAAGAGAAGAAAGAATCAGAATTGAGTACCCAAATCTTAAATCATAATCAGCAGTTGTATTTGTAATTTCCATGATCCAGAAAAAAAATCCATCCACATTTTACAAATGATCCAAAGAGGTTAAGTAACTTGTAAATAAGTAAAGTTAATTTGTCAGTGGTCACAGCTAGTAATTTTGAGAGCCTTCTTTCACACCCAGATCTTCTTATTCAAATCTTATAATGTTTGAAATAACCTAATCGCCTGCGTGAACTACTTGAGCAAAGTCAATAGGTTTTAATAGGCACCTACTCTCTGATCAGCACAAAATAGGTGTTGATAGAGATATAAAAGAACCAGGAATCAAGTTTTATTCCTTGGGGATAAAAAGACTTAGACATTCACAACATTGGGGAAACTACTCACATCATTAACATATACTTAGCTGTTAGATTACGTAATGCAGACACTAGGTGCTATGGACATTCTCAAAAAAAAGATCATGCTTGAAAATTAATATAATTAGTTACAAAGCCAAATCTCAGACGATAGCTACCTTACTTCCCAATTCCTGTTCATATTCAGACATACTAGCACCCCACATAGAAAGAATGTTGCTATAATCTATCAATTTCATTTGAGCACTTTCTATATGTTAAGTGCTGCCTGATTCTGGCAGGTATATAAACAAAGTAAATGTACTCCTTGTGATATTTCTACTTTCTTAGAGACCACCATTAAAAGATATTTCCTATGATCAGGAACAAAAAAAGAGATGAGACATTTCTCTACTTTGTTTAAGTCCTCAAAATTAGCTTTAAATGAATAAAACTATATTTGTGTTCTTGTCTGAAACCGATGATTCCAACATGGTGTTTGCCCAAGCTTCTCTGTTCGTGTGATGTCAGACCAGGAGGAAAACTCCCATAAACCCAATCTGAGTTTGAACTATGTGATGTCAGGACATCAACTACTTATGCCAGTGTATTCTTACACACACAGATTCCCGTGGAAAATTTAATAATTGAATAACAAATTTCTCCCATTTGGCACTCCAGAATGTGGCTAAAATATGAGGCAGACACTCCTGCCTTGAACTAGAAGAAAGGAACAAGAGCAGTGGGAGACCTGAAGGGAAAAATTAATGAGAAAACCTTCAAAGAAGATAAAATCTCACTTTTGTCTTATTTTCTCCACTTCTGAAATATATATATGAGGATCCCTTTCCAAAACCATTGTGTCTTTAAAATTTTTACTTCATATATATTTTTTATTAAAGTATAAGTAGCATACTGCGTTATGTTAGTTATTTTATTCGTTTTTATGATCTCAATTAGTTTTTACTGACCTCATGTAACTCCTTATGAGACAGCACTAAAGTCTATTGTTAAAGAAGAATGAAAGTCATTGCTATGATCTCTCCCCAACTATCCCTTTGTCAATTTGTTCCTAATAGGGTGACTGACCATCCCAGTCTATCTGGGGTTGAGGGACTTCCTGAGATGCAGAACTTTCACTGCTAAAACCGAAACAGAGGCAAACCAGGATAGCTGATCACCCCAGGTCACAGTAATACGTAGTTGTACAGTATTGCAATCACTACATAATATAATCTGTTCTTATACTTAACATTATAGCATAAATATTTTCCCTATGACATATAATTTTCATAAGTTATTTTTAGTTTCAACTTAGTACTTCATTGAATCAATTAAGGAATAATTCAATATTCCTCTATAATTGGGTATTAACCCCCCACCCCTTTTTTGAATCATTTGGAGCTACAGAAAACATGATTAAGGTACATATCCCCCCTTCTCATTATTCAAAATGTGGCTCTACACTTCAAGCATTGTCAACGTTTGTCAATAAGAAGTAATGACATCAAGCCAGGAGACCAATTTTACACTTTGACAAGAGAATAAATTGTCAAGGATTCAATACATAGAAATGGTAGCTTCAGACTGATTTAGCATGAGTACACTTATAGATTTGATATGTTTTAAATTCTTAGTATAAAACCTAAAACATTGATGGGGAAGGTTGAAACTGGAAATTTTCCTAAGTCTAAAATTCTTTTTTTTTTCATTTTTATTTATTTAAGTAATCTCTGCATCCATCATGGGACTCAAACTCACAACCCTAAGATCAAGAGTTGCATGCTCTTCTGACCAAGACAGCAAAGCTCCCCAAGTCTAGAGTTCTTAAAGGTGTTTCCTTTAATTCAAAACTTGGTTGTGTGTTCTGAGCTAAAGAGGACCAAGTAATATAAAATGAATATGGTAGGATCATATGGTGGCAAAATCAAAGCTAACTTAAGATATCCCTCTGGAGTCATGTTTGCCCTTGACTCACCTCTTCCCTTAATGATTTACTGTAAACCAACAAACAAACAAAATACTCTTACCTAGTATGCATTCTGCTGCTAGAGAGAACCAAAATCTTAAAGTAAGACACAAATTAATCATTGGGAAATCATTCATTCATTCATCCAAAAATATCTGTTGATCTTAGCCTACTGGTAAGCAAAAACAAGTAGAGATCTCTCCTCTTAAAGCTTACTATCTTGTTGGAGAGAGAGAGAGAGATGTTAGAAAAATATCCACCGGGCACATACTGCGGGTAAGGCACATGGTAAAGTACAAAGGGGTACACCTAAAGATAAGAGAAGTTCTCAGAATGTTAGAGTTGAGCCAGAGGTGATTTAAAAATGTACATATTAAAAGATAAGCAAATTCTCAACAAAATTAGTACAGAAGATACATATCTCAATATAATAAAGGCCATATATGACAAACCCGCAGCTAAAGTATACTGAACAATGAAAAAAATGAATACTTCTCCTGTAGGATCCAGAATAAGAATGCTCAGTCTAACCACTTTTCTTCAAGATGGTATTGGAAGTCCTGGCCACAGAAATTAGGCAAGAAATAAAGGCATCTACACTGTAAAGGAAGAAGTAAAACTGTCACTATTTGCAGGTGAAATGATACTAGATATAGAAAACCCTAAAAACCACCAAAACCTTTACAGCTAATAAATGAAATAAGTAAATTCACAGGATACGAATGTAACATATGGAAATCAGTTGAATTTCTCTGCATTAATAATGAGCTATCAGAAAGATAAATGGAAAAAAAAAGAAAATCCCATTTGGAAGAATTAATATTTTTTGAATGTCCATACTACCCCACGTGATCTACAGAATCAATGTAATCCCCATCAAAATACCAATAGCATTTTTCACAGGACTGGAACAGAGAATCTTAAAATTTGTATGGAACCACAGAAAACCCAAAACAGCCAAAGCAATCCTGAGAAAGAAAAAAGAGAGCTGGAGGTTATCACACTCCTTGATTTCAAACTTTACTAAAAGCCGTAGTAATCAAACAGTATAGAACTGGCATGAAAACAGACACATATATCAATGGAATAGAATAGAGAACCCAGAAATAAATCCACACTTAAATGTCAATTAATCCATGATAAAGGGGACATGAATATGCAATAGGGAAAAGACAGTATCCTTAATAAATGGAATTGGGTAAACTGGACAGCTACATGCAAAAGAATGAAACTAGACCACTATCTTACACAGTATACAAAAATAAATTCAAAATGCCTTAAAGACTTAAATGTAAGACCCAAAACCATAAAACTTCTAGAAGAAAACATAGGCAGGAAGCTCTTTGACATTAATCTTAGCAATATTTTTTTGTACCAGTCTCCTCAGGCAAACAACAAAAGCTAAAAAACACAAATGGGATTATATTAAACTAAAAAAACTTTTCCACAGCAAAGGAAACCAAAAACAAAACAGGCAAACCGCAGAATGGGAGAAGATATTTGCAAATCATCTATCAATTAGGGTGTTAAGGGCAGCCTGGGTGGCTCAGCCCAGGGCGTGACCCCGGGGTCCTGGAATCGAGTCCCGCGTCAGGCTCCCTGCAGGGAGCCTGCTTCTCCCTCTGCCTGTGTCTCTGCCTCTCTCTCTCTCTTTCTGTGTGTGTCTCTCATGAGTAAATAAATAAAATATTTTTTAAAAAATACGGTGTTAATACCCAAGATATATAAAGAACTTACACAATTTCATGTTTTAAGAAATCTAATTTTAAAATGGGCAGAGGGATGCCTGGGCGGCTCAGAGGTTGAGCATCTGCCTTCGGCCCAGGGTGTGATCCTGGAGTCCCAGGATCGAGTCCCACATCGGGCTTCCTGCATGGAGCCTGCTTCTCCCTTTGCCTATGTCTCTGCCTCTCTGTCACTCTTTCTCTCTGTGTGTCTCTTATGAATAAATAAATAAATAATTTTAAAAATGGGCAGAGGGCTTGAATAGACAT